TTTAATTTAAATTTTAATATTTAAACTTAATTATAGCTCCAATAAACAAAAAAAATTAATTACGAAGCTTCAGAAACTTTCATATATATTCACTGCCACAAAATATTGCTACGCGGAATCATTTTTTCCTGTTGCAGTTCGTGCGGTGACGATAATAGGTGCGTGTAGGAACCTTGTAGGAAAATTCACACGTGAATTTTCCTATAAGGAGACTTTAGCGGATTTTTCGTGGCAATGCCATATGGAAATGCTAGACGAAATCCGCTAAAGGAAACCTATAGCTTTGCATGCGGAGCAGTTGTGCCGCTCGGGAACGTCGCAATAATTATCCAGTTTGCTGTTCATATCATAATCATTAAGACAGTAAGTGATACGTTTAATTTCACTCTCACTTTGACACATTACGTAACTGATTATACAAAATAAAAAAATTAAAGTTTTCATTTTAAGACTTTTTACTTCAACGTGAGCTTTGCGAATGATAACTTTAGAAAGATTTGCTAAAATTCAGGAATGAAATGTGAACAAAATAATTTTTTTGAGAAGAGAGATTAAAATTCAGTTTGTAGTCATAAAAGATTGCAACATTCTTCCATTGAGACTCTTCATCTTTATAAGAATTTCTCTGCATGTTTTAAAGGTTCTTAAAATATTTCATTCAATGCTTCGAGTTCCTTCAAATTGTTGATCAAATAAATCAAAGGCAACTAAAATTTCAAATGATGCTAACAGTTCAAAAATTTGGAGGGAACGACGAAAAATTTAGTTTAGATTAACTGAAGCCCTCTTAAGAATCTCTTCATGAATCTTTACACTAAATGACACATCAATAAGCGTTAAATTCACATGTCGCTTTTCACTTTCACTTGGATGGGTTGTCATTAAAGTTATTTTATGAACAGCTTCAAGAAGCTTTTCCGTAATTGAGCGGTATACCAATTGATGACTGTGAGCAGGTTTTGAGAATAAACAGAGGATATTTGCTGCTAAATTAACTTTTAAGAAGCAAAAGGAAAGAAGAAAAAGAAGTAAAAGTTTCATAATGTTGACTTATTCAGCTTAAATCACGAGGAGAACTGACAATAATGAAAAATAAATGTTGATAAGATAAGCGAAGTTGTTATCAAGACACGTAAGTGGCAATACGCTTTATTCACAATCTATTTAAACTTTATTAATATTAAATGTTAACGATAATTAGATTGACATCTAAACAGCTGCGATCGATAAAGATATCAAAATTTACTAATAAATTAATAAATTTTTGTGGATCTTCTGTGGTTTTCCATCTTGAATATTCAATTTTCTTAACTTTTTAATGACCTCACATCATAAATTTGATAATAAGATATCAAAAAACAAGTTTACATCAATCTTTTGAGGTTTAATCTGAATCATCTATCGCCGCTCTTCCTATTGCGGTTCACATAAAACTTTGAATTTATTTTCTAAGTCGTTGAACGTTGATAGAAGATTTTCAATCTCCTTGCTTACCAGTAACTTTTTACGACCATTTTGCAAAGAAGATTAATTTAATATCAGTTATAAATGTATCATCTAATAACGAGATTCATAATTCAACAGTTATGACTGAAATCATAAAAAAGATATTTTTTTAATTTCTTTATGAAGAATTAAGTTTAAGATCGTCTTAACGAGTTTTAATTGAATCTTTAACTGTGCGACGATAAATCCTCTGTTTATGAATGTTTCGTCGTGTTAATTTTATTCTTTTAATTGCATTTCATAATCAATTTATATTCCAACCACCATGTTTTCATAAATACTGAAAAGTTTACGAAAACTGAAAATTTCCTGTTCAACCAACCATCGCGACCAATTCAACTCAATGTTGAAATTGAAAGGAGAAATAACGAAACTCATAAATTACATTTTATCATGTGAAAAGTATCAACACTTCATTAAATAAAAATAAAAACAAACTAAACACATAACAAAAGTAAAAGCAAAAAAACAACATCATCGAACTGCCATTGAGATGAACAATAGCCAAGTTGATTTGTAGAAATGGTTTTGTTATTTATTTTCACTTCATTCACATGGAGTGAGATGAGAAATCATTTCTTCTTAATGTTATATTTACATCTATGAAGGGTGATCTTCACATTTCACAAGCCGAAATGCTCCATTGCCTTTTCAAATGAACAACTAAAGTCAAACTCACAACCCCGGAATAACAATTTATCTAATTCACTTCCAACCAGTAGCAGAATTAATAATTGGGAAAAGACTAAATCAGAGAGAATTAAACGGGACGGGCCCAGATTTTAAAAGCTATTTCCACATGAATGCCAACGAGAATGTGCGAAAAGGCCATAAATCTATTCCAATCAAAACATTCATCTCATTTTTCGATGCTGTGTAAATTGAATGAAATGAATTTATAAACTGCACTCATCCTCTGAATTTGTTTGCTTTCGCAATCGATTTCGATTCTTTTTTAATTCGCGACGTTGTGGAATGTTTGAGAGTTTATTTTGTTGCATCGAATGAATAATATTTAGGGAGGGTTCATCGAATGAAATCGAACAGGGATTTTATTAATTCTGTAATTTATTAGCGTCTTTTGCAAAATGGCAGTTGATCGATTTTGCAGACATAAAACATTATTTATGATTACGAGATTTATTTAAGTACTTCGTGATGTTTGATGGACGTTGAAATGAAATCTTTACAATGTTGAATCTTACTTGGTTAGATATCAAAGACAAGAAGAAAGCTTGTTGACGTGAAGCGATTATTTACGACATCTGATAACTTCTTTCTCGTTTTGTTTTCATTCTCAATATCTTTTAAGTGAAAAATTATTTCTCCATTAATATTGATGGTTTGTAATTTTGGGGCGCTCTTAAAATGAATATGTACACGATTTTCTTCATCCTTCTTCTCCTTCCAATCAAACTTTATGATCGGCCGATATGAATAAATTGGAGATTTTACATTACGAAATTCATCGCACAAGACTTCCATTAAAGATCACCTTAAATCCGCTAAGAAACAAAATATTGACTCGTCGCAAAATGAAGTGCAATAAAATGAATAAAAAAAGTCTGAACAAAGTCAACCACGAAATTTTTTAAAACTTCACATTAAGATGGACAAGTTGGAATAGGTTGAAGTCTAAAATATGAATGCCCATTTGTTTATGAGAAAAATTAAAATCAAATAAAAAACGCATTTGCTTTGTTTCACTTAAATCCCTCCCAAAAAGACAAAAAAATCGTAGAATTTGTTGTTGATGATAAAAATTCGTTTTCAACTTTATCTGGTTGTAATAAAAAGTCATCACAGGTCGTCGTATTCGCGACAAATAAAATATTTAAAAAGGGAATTAAAATAACAAATAAAAGATTTATTGTGAAACGAGCGTTTATCAAGCTTGTTCTGTTGTCAGTGAATTGGTGGACCACCCAGCCTGGAATCGTGGCACTTTGGACACCTTTACGCTAAGACAAAGTGAGCGGTGTTCAACTTTTAACTTAACCAAATTAAATGCAAACCATCATCATTAAAAGAGAATTAAGTAATCCAGGGCATGGTCTTAAAGAAGCATATTTGATGATGAGATATTAAAAATTAATTAATTTTAACACACACGGTTCATTTCAATTCTTTCACGATCGACAACTGGTTTGAATCTTTTTCCTTCCTTGTGTGTTTGCTTTGAGATTATTTTAATGACGATGCCAAAAAAAGATTTCTGATCAGATTCATAAAATTCCAGTTTCGTTTTCAATCTTCTGGGTTTTCATCTTTCTTGTTTGCTATTTTGAAGAAAATTTGCTCGGTGATTCACCCAGCGAGAAATACTCAAGATTCAGAATTAATTATGAGATCAGATTATCTCTAAGATTATATTTCAATTAATCTTTGAATGTATTCGCCAAAGTTAAGTGAAGGATGTTCATTGTTAGTGTTGTTGAAGTCAAAGTAGCAGACAACTTTACTTAATGACGAAGTAATCTACATAAATTGTCAGAAGACGTCAAAACAAACAATCAGAAGAGAAGCCAAATAAGGAAAAATCATTAAAAATGTATCACCTACAACATTATCATTACCTAAAACATTTGTCAAGATTCGTCGAGTTTCATCAAACCTAAAAACTCAACTAATTAGCAGTTTATTTATTAAGTATTAAATTCCTCCATCCAATGATTTAATTTTGATGTAGATTTTATGATTTTATTACAAGATTAAGCAAGAAAAAGAAGAAATAAATCAAGCAAAAGATGAACATTCGAAGCATCAGCGTTAAGTTCTCTCAAAATTTTAATCGTCTTCATGAATATTCGAAGTTCGGAACTGAAAGGATTTTAGCGGGTTTACGAAATTGTAAATCAAATCTTGGCAAACACATCTCAGCAGCTCTCGGAAGGTATTTAGCAAGCAATGTAAATATTTAAAAGAAATTAAGAAATTTACGAGCGATCAGGAAAGTTGCAAATTCCATTTAGCGGCAATTTGATTTATTGATATCGAAAGTCATTCTTAAGAGATTACTTTTCGCAAGAATGGCAAAGAAAATCAATACGAGAAAAACAATTTGAACCGAAAGTCATAAACTGACATAAATTACATCATATAAAAATAAGAAATAAGAAATTGCATTCCAACAACTTGAAATTTTATATTTTCGCACATGGTTGTCGAAATAAAGTTTAATTTAATCACACGGATTAATCAAATTCTGTTCAGACATCGTTTCACTTGGTGGCTCCGAATTTTATGCAAATCTTGGTCATTCGATCAAGGAGATGAAAGCAATCCATTTGATGATTTGGAGAGCTGAAGAGATCCAACGATAAGTAAGAGAAACAAAAAATGCAAATCATAAACAATCTCACATCAATAAATATTCAGATTGCCTTCGAAATCTTTTCTTAAATTCGCTGAAAGCTTTTCTTCCTTTAAAAGGTGCACAAAGAAATAAGATCAGCAAAAGAGTTCATTAACCAGTGCAACAAAAAAAGATGAAAAATGAGCAACAAACGCAATGATGAGAAGGAGAAACCAAAAGCCAATAACGCAGAAAATATTAATTTAATTCTTGTTTTCCTTTCTTATTGCTGCGGTTTTTTAAAGTTCGCTTTGTAATGACGGTTGCAGCAAACAATAATCATAAAAGAAATAAATGTTTCTTATTTTTCGGGATGATTTATCAAACGATTTGGCGCTCGAGTTGTGCACAGAAAAGACGATCGTCAATGCAAACGATTTTTAATTACAGAAAAGAAAGAAATTGTTCACGACTTTAATTTATGATTGAAAGGTGAAGTGAAACCAGGATGTTGATGACTTGGTTAACATCTTAACTATCTGTTTCTAAATAAGACAAAGAAGAAAAAGGTGTCAGAGAAGCTAATTCGAGTTCACACCTCAATATTAAGATTCATTCCGTCACCTCTTCAACGAGACATGAAATGTGTGAAGATGTCAGAGCGCATCGTAATCTAAAGTGAACTTCTCTTTAGAGACCGAGAGCACGCAAACACTCCCAAAGGCAAAAACCAGCTGCTAATTTATCAAGAGGAACGACTATTGACGGTTCCTTGTAATTTTCAAAGAAGAAAAGTTAATTTTTCCACATCTCGTCTTTCTTGTTATTGTTGCAAAAAAAATGAGATGAGAAACAGAATGAAAGAAGCTTATGGAACGATGATGGATGAGCTTAAGTGCAAATTGAGATCGTGAATGCATCAAGGGAATGATAAAATCTAACAAACAGACACAATGCAGTTTTTGAATGAGAAACAATGACGAGCTGATGAGAATGAAGTGAAAATATTTTGACTGTTCGGCTCAATATCAAATAAATTTGAGTTCAATTGACCGTGCAAAATCGATTTTTAATGTGCTCCACAATGAGGCAACTGCCACTCAACTGAAAATGAAAACAAATCGTTTTTGCCCTTAGTTTTTGTCTCGTCTTGTTACTTGCACAACGAACGTAAGCAAATCCCATTGAAAGATGCATCAAGAGACTTTTTTTTGTCTTTCTTTATATTCAATTTCGATCGACAAACAGAAAAGGAGAAGAACGTTGCTGTTAATGTCCATCGATAATCGTATGGATCGATTTTTTTTTTCATTTGAAGTGTCAAAACATACACACCGTGTGTGCATCCAACAATGGACACTTCTCTTCCATTTCAAATCGATCAATGCCCAATGTTGCTTGTGATCTTCGAAAAAGGCGAAACATTCAGAATAAAGAGAAACAAATTGTCGAGAATCATTGAAATTTGTTACAGAAAATTACATTTCTGATTTATTTTTTTGTGTGTTATTTGTAAATATTTATCTACAAAGAGAAGCAAAAGTCAATCGAATGATGAATAGAATTAAATGTGAAATGTTCACAAAAATAAAGTTTATTGCAAAGAAATGTAAAATGTCAGAGTGATTTGCCAGTTTCCTCTGCTTCTTCATGTTGTGATGAAATTGTTCCTTCATTTTCTTCCATTTAGTAAGTAATCGATTGCATTGCATTAACAACACGCTTAAAATTGTTCGCACAAAATGTGTTTTGTTAGTCATCATTTGGTCATTCTTGAAATATTTCCACATCATCAAAGACTAATTCAGGATTTCATTCTTCAGGAATGATTGAAGATTTTTGAGAATCATTTATATGAATTCTTAGAACTTCATCATCATCGTGCATATGTCATTACATACAATGATCTACTGTACACACAAAAGACACACATCGAGTCGTAGAACCGATTTCCAATCAATTACTAAGATGATGAAGAAGAAGAAGAAAGATAATTTATTTATTTATAAACAGTCGTGTCTCGTTTGTTGTGCCAATGTCTGATGTGCATTTTGTGAAATCACTTTTGAGTCATGCTTGATAGACTATTGAATTAATGTGAAGACAATGTTGGACGTTGCGCTGTGATTTAAGCTTTGGTGTTGCTTTTCTAAATTATCGGAATGAATCTTTATCGGGTGATACAGATTTCTGTCTTTCAAAACCCTCAACGTCACATTTGACGACGACAATCACCGCTGATGTATCATTGCCTTTTACGTCTCAACATTTCTGCTGTTAACTGGTGATTTCCCGGTTAGAATTCCATAAGACAACAACGTGAAATTGGCGTTCGAAACTTTCTTTCAGATTTTATCTTAATGAGATTTAACGAGCAGAATTTTTGAGTGAAAAAAATTACACATCGTTATCTTTAATGCAATTGGAACCTTTAATCATATAACCGAAAGATTTTGCAGTCAAAGTCACATTGAAAGAGAAACTAATGAGACTTTAAAAAGTCTTCACACAACAAAACAAACAAATAAAAAAAAGAACGCAAATCATTTATCATTTTTAACTTCAGAAATGAAATTAAAGGCGATGGAAGAATTGAAAAATGTGTCATTAAATTCAGTGCAAAGCCTCAAAACAACAAAACAAAAGTAAGAAAAAAAAGGAAGAAGTTTCTTCAACGTGTCAAAAGACTTCAAGGAGATAAACATCTGCATAAAGGAATCATTTTTTGATAAATTGTTGCATCATTAATAAGTGGTGTGTGACATCTAAAAAAGAGATGAAATGCAAGGAAAACATTGCAGTTGGAAGCAATGAAAAGAAGATCGCAAAATAATTCGAGTGAAGTCATGAATGCGATGCCAGTTAAATAAAAAGTAATTTTTCTTTCTTAGTTTAATCTCCTTGACTTGAATGCAAGTAAAGACGAATTTAATATTTACGAATTTTTTTTTTAAATTGTCTCCGCTTCATTTAATTTCCATAACTTAAGACATTCGGGAAAGTTGAATGAGTTCTGTCGCGTCATGTCCCGAATTTTATTGTCATCGCGAGAGAAATGATTCAATCACATTTAAAGTGCGATATTATTCAACAAAGTAGGTTCATGATGGAAATGTTGAAACCATAAAGTAAAGTGAATTGCTTTTGTTTTCGTAAGGTTTTGAAAAGAAAGCTGAAGAGTCATGGAGCAATTAACAATTGATGGGAATTATTGTGATTTACAAGCTTGGCAATCTTATTAGCATTTTAAATTTATTAAGACCAGAGTCGTAAATTTTTGCGATAACTGACTGAAGAGTCTTCATTTTCATGAGCTTAAACATGCAACACACGAAATAAAGCAGATGTAAGTGAAGGAATTTATTCAGTTTTCGATATTGTTTCACCGCCTGAGAGTAAACATCGTTAATGTCGAATATTTATTGCAATCGAATCCATCGATAAGAATTTATTGATTCTGTTGATTGGAAGTTTTAACATCATGTCGTCAAATTGAAACGATTTTTTTAATTATTATTTGTATTAGTAAAACAATCTAAAAGTCTTTTGGGTTTATCAGAGTTCAAGATTCATGTTAAAGTGTTAAAAGAATTTTCCACTTCCACACTAGATGATTATTAAACACACATGATTAGTAAGCAAATTTAAAGATTAAAAACTTTTTATTAACATAAATGTCAACAAAGTTGCTGCTTCGAAATCTTCGAAGAGACACTTTTATGGAAAATTAATTTAAAACTTCTTGATGATACGACAAGCTTTGTGATCTCGAAAAAGAATTAATAAGTTGCGATTGGAATTCCTATAAAATACTTATAAATATTCGTTTGGTTTCGATAATGCGCTCGCAACACGCTATCATAAAATAAGGAACTGTGCGACATTGATTTCATTTCTCAAATATCATGAGACTCAATTACTTTGTCACCCGCCTACGAGGAATTTCAGTCGAAAAAAATGATGTCGAGATGTTTTCAGAGGGATCACATCACATTTATCTATCAAATTTATATAACGATCGTTTTGGTTCGAGACAACAACTGAACTTATAGCAACCATAAAATGTAATAAAAAATGCATCGCAATGTGTGGCGATATTTGTTGTGAGTTTCACCAGGAAAAAAGTTAAAAAAAAGAAAGAATAAAGAAAAGATTGTGCTTTAAAACTGACACCAAAAAATCGATCCATTGTGAAGGCTCTGCCTCATAATAATACTAACTTTTGAAGATGAAAAGGCATTCACACAGGGCAGTCGGGTAATGGTTTCAAGAGCGATCAGAAAAGTCATAATAATCAAAATTTATTGAACGATCTTTTCATGGATTGGAAACACGAAAAATCATTTTTATTTTTCGCCAAAAGAAGAATTCTGAAGAAATCAAATCCGAGCAAGGCCGGCGACGTGAATTCTCTTTTTTTTTTTGGAATTTTGTTGAAGCGAGATATTTGATGTTCTCTTTACACAATAAAATATGATCACAATAAACGGCTTTTTGAATCATGATGGAATTTCATGCAAATGACATAAATTTTTTTATAAGTTGCAAGAATGTTGTTACAGGATTTCCATGCGATAAGGCAAATATTCGAAGAGAATAATTCAATTGCTTAAGTCATAAAAAATCACTGAATGAATAATAATTTCATTGATCATCAAATTGATATTGAATAGAAGGCGATGTTCAATGCAACTGTAATAAGAGAAAGAAAGGAAAGAAAAAAATCAAACCTGAAGTCATCGCTTTTTACCAAGCAATTCGAACCACAAAATAAAATTGTAAATAAAAAATAAAATTATTGACAAATATTAAAAACTGAATGCAGGTAAAAGAAAAAAAAACCAAAATGAGACGAGAAAAAGGAAAAGAAAGAGACGATAAATATTGAAGATATTTATCAAACAAAAATACTGAGAGTCACTCGACCCATTCAAAAGAATTCGCTTAATTGAAATAAATTTATGCACATTTCAATAATTTTTGAGACATATTACGAAGGACATTGAAATATCTTTTAAAATTGTTATGAACGAAACGAGAGACTTGAACTTTTTTTTAATTTTTTTTTGCATTCTTCCGCAAAACGGAATAAACACACCGACAATGACAATGACAACAACGACGACGACTCTATGAATTTAAAATTGTAAACAAATGCAATTGATTGTTGGTAAATAGCCATCCATTTGCAACAGAATAATGACAAACAGTAACAAAGTCTCCCACAAATGCGTTCGTAATTCGCATTAAACAGTCTCTTGAATGTCCATCGTCTTTATTCATACAACCTAGGAGAGGCTTCACTGCAACTTTCCAATAATTTTTTCACGTCAACGTTGTTCAGTTTGCAAGTTGCAGCAGCTACGGGAACTGGATAAATGTATGTCTAAACAATAGTCTCGTTGACTTCTTTTCTTTTATTTATTTTCTAATAATCTGACATTAAATAAAATAAATAAAATCAAAGAGAAAGAAGAAGAAGAAGAAGAAGCTACTGGGAGTCAATTGAATTCACAAAACTGTAACCGCAAGTAAGTGAGCAGGCAGCATATAAGTTTGCGGCATCTCTTTGCTTCAGTTACGACCATCTACATCTGATTATGAATATGTTTCATAATTTATATGTGTAACCATTTCGATATTGTTTGCTCTGCATAAAAAGAGATTTGTTAAGACGGTAGCTTGTGCTTGTTTCATTGTTTACAATTGTTTAAAGTTAACCGGCATCGCGGTGTGGAATAAAAACTGCATTCAACATCATCTCAAAGGATTATCATATAATTTTTTTATGTTTTCGTCTTTTTATTCTTGACTCTCTGGTTTGATTATCACTGTAAGTTGATAAATAAATTTCCAATCAAAGTTATGATGAAATCATATTGAATGAAACAAGATTTCAATGCAATAAAAAAGTGTCCCGATCCCGAAACAATAAAAATGTTTAACGATCACATTTCTCACATTTAAATTTTATAAAGTCGAAAAATGTTCGTGAAGGATCGTAAATAACTCAAGTCGGGCCAAACCTACGTTCTAGTTTTATTATTGAAAACGAGGACAACACAAGAAAATTCACTTCATTATAATCGAGTTCAATGCTTAACAATGAAAGGTGAGATAACATCCCAAAATATTTTGTCGTCATAGAAGAAGATTTTGATATAAATAATAATTTTTATTCCTAAATGTGCTTGCATTCGACCGACCTTTCTCTGGTTCTGGCCTCGATTCTATTCAATCTCAACGAACGAATAAAATAAACAATTTCGGGGGTAAGTCATGAAGTTTCTGGCACAATTTATGATACAAGAAAGGTATCATCGGATTCATTTTCTTCCCTTAGCCATTGTTTGTCGTCAATCTCGACAATTGTTTTGTGTGTGTTATGTCGCATTCGGGGCTAAGAAAAAACGATTCATTTTTCAGGTATAATAATATTTACACAATTCAAAGGCCGCATCGAGTGAATTGACTTTTGCTTTACGAGGATCCCATGACACGATTTTTCTAAGCCATCACAAAGACAGGAAAAAGATTTTTATTTATTGTTGGTGATGTTGCTGTTTAGTTTATTTGGTTTAAGTGAATATAATTAATGATCATAGCGTGATGATCATGAAACATTTGAAAAGCGCGGTTCAGTTCTTTGGGGGAAATTGCTACAAATCTCTTTGTCGCTTTTTTGTGATAATTTCTCTACTTTTTGTTTGAAGAATTAAATTCTCAGGAGGGTTGGTCGTCCAAGGAATGGAAATAATAAAGAAGTTGAATTTTTTATTCATTTTCTATGATCTTCAAATAACATTTTATCATTCGCCAGCATAATGTGTCGTCTTATTAATGATCTTTGATGCTTCTAATGAAATGTCGATCCCTTCTTAAATACCAAAAAAGATTTTTTTTTTATTTAAGAACTTAACGAGAATCGAGAGTGAAGAGTCATTAATTATCCCTCTTATTCCATGCCTCACAATCATAACGAACAATTCAAATTGCAATCGCAATCATAACAGATTTTGATCGGCAAAATTTTCAATTCTCAATTGTCTTCCAACGATGCACACTGAATAAACCGAAGCTATCTGAAAGTGCACACAATTCATCGTTGTTGCAATAAATAGTCGAAAAAGATTGATCAATTCTTCAACTATAAACGCAACAAAGAGAATTGTTTGTAATTTATGACACTCACAAATGGAATGAAGAATAAAAAGTTCCATATAAATATAAATACAACAAAGTTAACTGATTTTCAAATCGCACACTCAAAAGTTGTTTTGGTTTCGTTTTGTTTTTATCTAAAAGTAAATATTTTGAGGGAAAGAAGAAAGAAGAACATCAACAATTGATAGACAATTCTCATTGTGTCCCCGAATTTGGAAGACGAAGTTAACAACACTTAGATAATTCACTTTTCATAAACAGTCAAAGTCAATGGCAATGGCAAACAAACAACGAAGCTTTTTGGTAAGCGGTCAAAACACGGCAGCAACTGAACATGTTTGCAGACACAAAAAGAAACCATTTCAAGTCCCAAACGAGAGTCTATTATTTCGTTGTTTTCCTTTTCTTCTCACTTTATTTGGCTTTTCACACTCAAAAATATCAATTGTTCCACTTTTCTTCTTATTGTTTCCTTCACACACATGCCATGTCCTAAGCAAACAAAAACGAATTTAAAACAAGACAACGGAGATGATGTTGAGGTTGACTTAATACACACAACAGATCCGGATGAATGAAATGATGTTAACATAATATGTTTTTATGAATAATTACATTGCATATATCTGTTCTTTATTTTTATTTCTACTTCAAGAGGGAGGGGGAAAATGATGAGTCCCAAAACATTAAACCGTTTAAAAAAAATTCCTTGCATGAATAAATTATTATTTACCATTTTAACCCATTTATTCCACTTCAGACTTTGCTTTTGCGGGTTGTTGAATCCTTTAAGAAATGATCTCATTTATACCTGACAATGAAAGGGACGAAGGTCTTGCGCAATCATCAAGACAAGACTCATGAAGTTGAAGTGGAATCTTAACCCTTTCTCTTACTTCCCTGCCTTATGACATCTTACACTCGTAAAAATCATTTGGCGTGGACAATTTTTTATTTATTGCACAACTGCATAAAGCGATGTTAATCTCATTCTTTCAGTTTCTCTTGTTGAATTCTTTCTTGTTTCTGAGTTTTTTTTTCGGTAAGATCTGGATCACATCATTAATTTTCTTGAAAGCCACTTACCTTTTATGCAAAATGAGAATTATGAATTTATTATGCTTAACAATTTTTTTTTGTTTCCATCATTTTCGGGTTTTTTTCTTTTGAAAGCAAATGCAAGGAGGTTGAGTTAAGTCTGAATGAGAATCGTTGAGTTTTGTGCACACAATAAATCTTCTGACCGCTGTCTAATTTCCAGTGAACCTTCAGGTATTTTTGATCTTACATTACAACTGCAAGAGAACATTTCATCCCTCTTGAAATGATTTTTTACTTAATTTATTCAGAAATCTTTATGATTCAATTTTTAGAGTTGTGTTCGATAAAGTTATAAAAAGGCTTTAGTGAATAAAATTGAATACAAGACGATGATGTAACTTTAGAACAGGAATGAATAGTTTTTAAAAGTCATTTGACCTTTTATGTTCTCTCGCAAATCGCGAAACTTTTGTTCTTTTCATCCTCATTCGCCTGATAATCCAATGATTTAATAATATTTGTTTATTGATAATGAGTGGCTTGAATGTTTTTGTATTTAAATTGCTACTGCTGAAACTGATTTTCTCGTTTCTCACCTGCATCGTTCTCAATGCCTAAAGCCAGTCAGATCATTTTTGTTATTTTTAGATCAACTTTTGTACGGAGCAGTTGTTGACTCAACAGCAGCCGAAAAAAAGCAGAATCAAAGCGAATTTTATTAAGAATGAGTTGAGAAGTTTCTAACAATAACACTCCACACAACGACTTCGCTGGAACAGATTTTGTGGGTTGTTATGGTAAATTTTTTTGAACGTTTGAATAATTATTTTCTGTGGCTTTTCTTACTTTCTTATTCTCCCGATAATCAACAAAGCAGCACTTAAGGAAAAGTGTTTTTCTTTCTCTTTTCAGTTTCTTCACATCACATTCAACAGAAGCTCGCTTAGATGCTGACTTGGCTTCTGAAAGCGTTCAAATAACTTTTCATATCAACTATAAATTATCTTTCTCTCTTTATTATTTTGTGTAGATACTTTTTGATGATGCAATCAATCATGAGAAACATCAATAAAATGCAATTGAAATTGAAATTAAATGTTGAATTTCTTGAACGATATTCAAAGCCGCTATCATTGAAATTATAGTTTTTCTCACTCTCTCACTATTTATCTACCCAGTAGCGTCGATAAATTATTTCTCTGTTGTTGATTTAAACTTCTTAAGAATTGCATTCACTTAAGTATCGCACCAGATATGACTCATTGGATTAATTTGAAAGTTTAAAGCAAGTTTATGTCAAGTTATTTCTTTTTTTTTTTAACGATTTCCACTTGACAGTAATTCAGGTGACTTCATTTAAATATTATTTCCTTTTCAACGGAATCATCTCATCGTTTCTTCGCTGGTCATGCTTCTTATTATTCTTTCTTCTTCTCATCACAATAATGATTACTTCGAGTTCAACGAGCGACATGTGAGAGTTCCAAAGCTTGAGTATGTTGGCTATTAAGTCGTAAATGTATTAACAGAATCGTGTCGTTTTGTGAAATTCCTTGAATAATCACGTTCCCAGCTCGAGCTGATTGTGATGGAACGCTAAAAATTGCATTCGACAAAGAGAAAGAAATGTTCGCATAGATTTAAAAATTGATGTTATGACAAATAACGCACATCATAACAACAATTTTTAGATCTCTTTTATTTGCTTCGTCTTTAAATGAACCTGAACGAGTTGAGTTGTGAAATGTTACCGTAACTAAGAAGAAATGAGCCAATGTTGGCGTTTGATTAGTTATGAATATGCAAGCAAATATTTCCTCTCAATTTCCAATGTTGCCCAGTGAGAAATCTGATAAAGTTCAACAAACTTGAACTTACGTTGTCCAATATATTTTCTCTATTAAATCACGAATATTTCACGAAACGAGCTTCGTTTTATGCATCTTCAGAATGTCCACTTACAATTGCTTGTTTAACTTCACGAGAAAGCAAAAAGAAGAAGAGACTTACACGAACATTGATAGCGTTGAATATTTCTTTCTCTTTGAATTTTTTTTTCTTCTCTTCATATGCATTTGCAATATTGTTTGCCATTCGAGATTGCATTTGACCTACTTCTATACGATTTAGTCATTAAAAATGTTCAGCCTCATCTTCATACTTATAAGCGAGATTACTTGGAAAAAAGCAAATATCTAAGCGATTGAAGTGAAAATAAAAAGAAGAAGAGAATCCATTTGAGATACTTCGAGATGGTTAAAGTTTTTCATCCAAATATCAACGAAGAAATTTCAAAAAAGGCCAAAAGACAATCATTAAATGCCCCGACAAAACATATCTGGTAAGCCCATCGGTCGATCAATTAAAAATGCATTTAAAGTTCATAAAAATGCATTCCAGTGTAATATTCAACTTTGATTTTTGAAAATGTAAATGACGAAAAAGAAGCTGAAAGCGACCTCGAATTAAAAGCCTTATTTTCAAGCCCATAAAGTGCCATAAAAATTAAATTGTAAGCTCCAATGTTCTTAAACGAAAACATTCTCGCATCGGATGAGAAATATGAATGATTTGAATAAATTAGCATTTATCGCGCTTCTTTATTGTTGCGGCGGCTTCATTAAGAGCAACAAAAATTAAATCCCATCATCGTCGAAGCATAGGGACCATGTGGCAACTGGTAAAGCTAAAGAAATACAAAAAAGAAAGGAGAAAAAGAAAAAATTAGTTCAATTTATTTAGATTAAGTTTGTTTCTTCCAATTTGGAATACGAAAGAAAGATGAATTCTAATCTAATATTTAATGATAATGAATTTGATCTTTAGGATTCGAATATCTTGTGAACAAATTCAGACAACATCTCACTTTGTAGCGGATATTTCGATCCAGTTTTCATAATTTGAAAATTAAAATGAAGACACGAAATGAATTGTTTTGTCTCAGCTTCCTTCGTCTGTATTGCTGCTTCTTTTTCAACAACCACAACACGAATCAATAATCATAATCGTTGTGTTTACGATCACAGATTGCCGCTTCGACGTCTTCGTAAATGACCTTAAAAATGGTTCACTTTTGGAGAAGCGTTAGAAGATGTTGTAAATAATTTTAATGGAACATTTTTCGAGACATTAACAGTCAATTCTTAAAATGTTTCTCGTTCGATTTCCAATCGTCTGAAGTTTCTAGAATCGGAATCTTAATATCAATAAGGTTTAGACCACAAAACGATAACTATCCGAAAATATCAGAGAACTTTAAGAATTTTAATTTTATTCTAAGTCGATAAAGGCTACAAGTTCCAATAAGAAACATTCTGCTTGTTTACATTTTATCTATGATATTTATTGAAAGTTCAAAAAGCATTTCTATGTTCTTTTCTCGACTATTGTTGATCGTCCAAATATCACAAATTGTATCGGTTTAGAAAAGAGGAATAAACTTAAACATTCTCCATCGTCTTCAATAAGTCGGCTACCATTTCATATCAATATTATATTTTATTGATCAACATCAATAAATTTTCATTTAAAAAACATTCTCTCAATGCTAAAGAAGATCAAATATTTTAATCAGTTTTTGTTTGAGCTTCGCTTCTTTCTCTTGAAATCAAATAAAAATAAATCGTCGGAGAGAAGAAATGGAATAAAAGGTGAAAAGAAGAGAAATGACTAATGAGAGCACAAATATAAAACTTTTAATCTAATAAGTTTCGAGTCAACACAATAAAAGAAGCAAAAGTTTCAGTAATGATGATGATTTGCACAACCACCGCCGTCTTAAAGAGCTTAAAACCTGAGTTATTTCTCATCTCAAACATTTTAGAGCGATTTAATTAATTTTCATCAGCAAACTAATCTGTTTCATCTCAAAAAAAAATCTTTTACTATTTGTGTTGAAATCAATCAAGCTTCCTATAAAAAAACTGAAACGTTTTTTTGCCAATAGCGTTGTGATGAGTGACATAACATTTGGATCAGAGACAAGGCAATAAATCTAATCACTCGCTTCTAAAAAACATTTGATGACTTCGTTAAGATTTATTGGGTTCGTAACATAAAGATTCTTGAATAGTAATAGCACTCAACTCGATAACAAGGCATCTCGTTTATAAATGAGAACAATGCGTTGAAATTAAACGCTTTAAGCTTCCCATGTTCATACAAACTTCCTTAAACTATCTGGCTTTGTTCTCGTCATACAAAAGACAGACTGAACTCAATAAAAGTCATAAAGGCATTATTATTACTCTTAACTTGATCTGCTTGCCTTTTTTGAGGTCTTCCATTTAGGTTTCCAATAAAGTTTTGCGAGAAAATTTATTGCAATGTTTTCTCGTTCTGTGTTTTGATGGATTCCAGTCAAGAGTAGAAAACGAAAGAAAACGAAGTAAAAAAGTTTTTATGGTGTTATAATTTCTCCCTGTGAACCAACACACTTTATAAGTCGCTTAAATCGCGCAAGAAAAATTATATTTTAATTATATTGCTTCTTAATTGCATTGCCATAATTTTAGATAAAAGTCAGCGGTGTTGAGTGTATGTAATCACGATGAAGCAGTTGAATCCATTTTTCATTAAAACACGATTTCGATTATCAAATATATCGTTTTAAAAGTGAAGTATTTCCTCGTTAAAATTATTTTCCTTCTTCATAAAACGGCGTTTCACACCACAGCTCAGCTCACATGCGTTGTAGAGCTCCACAACTTCTGCCTGAACTTCTTTGCTTGCGTTCGAAACATAAATATTGAACTGCTAAAATACTACAATAAAACAATAAATTAAACTGTTTTTTTTAATAATTTCTCTCCAAAATCTTCCCGTTTTATGAAACACTATTAATCAAAATTCCAAAATGTGATGCAGAAGGCAAGAGAGTCAAGCGACGAGATTTATTTCATGTTAAAAGCTTTGCAGTTCAAAAGTGGCTCACATGATGCCCCTTCAATATAATTTCTTTGCTCTTCTTATGATTTATTTATCTTTTCGATCAATTATCCCCGAAAAAAAATTGTTGCAACATAAAAAAAATTGTTTACGAGAACATCGCGTAATTATCCGTTGGCAGAAGAAATTAAGGTGAAATGATAAGGAAATGAATGAAGACGAGAGAGAAAATATGTTCGAGATATCAAGAGAGAAATTATCATCGAAAAAAGCGAATTTATCGTCGCTGATTAAAAGTTGCGCTAAGATCAATGGTGAAGGTGCGCATGCAATTGTAACGAAAATTGAAATCACGAACGATTTTTGGAATGGATTTCATCTTTTTTTCATCTTTTTGGGAACAAGTTACCATTCTTTGACATCATAATTTGTTGCACACGCAGGGAAGCAAAGAAAAATTTGGTTTGTCTCGAAAGAATGAAACGAAAATTAATTTATGCACACTTGGTGATGCATTCTCGCTTGAAGTTTGAAGATTTAATTTTAAGCAAATATAATAAAAAATAAATCAAGAAATCATGACTGTCAGCAGTGAAAAAGAGCGAACAGAGAACTAAATATGGAGGGGAGAACAAACATTGCATTTGTGTAGCAAAGCAATCTGCTTCGCAATCAAACTTTGTAAGGTGGCCAAATTTTACGCAAATGATTTTGTGTTTGAATAAGACAACGAAAATAAAATGAAGAAGAAAGAAAAATTCAACGATCAAGTTGAACTTACAAGTTGAGGTCTCGATTCGATCGCTCAATAAAGGAATCTCTCTTCATCTTCAACATTCAATGCCATTCGCCTTTTAATTATTAATTGTGTTCAGTTTTGAGAGTTTAACAATCAGGAAAACATGCAATAAAAATTATAATTTCATTCGATAAACAGAAATCGCTAACATAGCTTCTTGAATAATGAAAAGATGAGAAAAAAAAAACAAAATTTAATTCAACCTCGCTGATGCTGCCGATTGCCGATGAAAGTCGCAAAAGAATAATGTTAAATGTTAATCCCTTGATGATTTCAATTAATTTCCAATTTTATTGCGTCTTGTTTTGGGCAATTGATATTTCAAGTTATTTTTGTTGTGCAATTCAAAAATAATTTATTACATTGCTTTCTTTCGATAAAAAATTAAAAGAAAAAAGAAATTAAAATCATTTTCCAAAAAAAGAAGTTTTTTGTTGTGAACGATATCTGATTGAATTGAAATTCGAGTACGGTGAAAAACAATCTGAATCTAAATTTATTTAATCGATCACTCAAGCATCGTGTCAATGGAAAAACAGCGCGAACTTCTGCTGCTGCTGATGATTGTATTCGTACCTTGCAATATCATTTTCTCACATAGCCGATATATTCCAAAGCAGTGGTATTGTGTATTAAACAACGATTTATAACGTCAACTTTGATCAACCAGTAAAATACTCGTATAAACATTATAATATTATACCTCGGGTGGAGACCTCTGTATGTTCATTCATTCTCCTTACCTTGTTCTTCAGTCTTTCTGTTTCAGTTGTGAATTGACTCTTCTCTTAACAACATCTCCTCTCACTCGGCTGCTGTTTTGTTTCGTGTGTAAAAAAAACAAGCGAACGGCAAGAGAAAAAATATATTTTCGTATTATTTCCTATCTCGGGATTTTTTCCGATTTTGATTTTGTCGTTTCGATCGTTCAGTTGGAGAAGTAGAAGAATTTTTCATATAAAAAAAATAAAAGTAAATGTGATTATAGTCGTTTTTTTCCTCATGTTCATTCGTTTTCTCAGCACTTATGACTAGGTTAAAAGTGTAGAAAAGCATAAATTATAGAAAAGACAAGAGAAGAGAAAAAAAAACCAGTAAAGATAGTGAATGGTGCGCTATGGATGTTGTGCTGTACGACCGCGCGCTCAATTTGAAATTTTAATTAAATTTAAATTCATTTTTATGGGAAAAGGTTAAATGTTACGGGTCGTTTTAAGAAGGGAGAAGGAGAGAAAACACATGATTCAAGGACATAAACATTAAACGATAAATCGCTAATTTATTGAAATGATGAAGATCTAATTGCTGTTGGCCGATTGCACGCTGTTTCATTTGTTGACTAGCAATTTCATGTATATGGCATTTTGATGTCATAAAAAAAGTGCACTTTTGTGATCAAACTTACAAACTTAGAAGTTAGTTTGTCTCTCCATGTGACAGTTAAATGAGAACAGAAAAAAAATCACTAAAGTGGATTATTTTATGGAACTTAATGAAATAATTAATTTTTTTACTTGCTTTAGTCACAGCTAGTAATAAAAGCAAACAAGCAGATGAATTTTAAACAATTTTATACACGTGTCTTTGTTTAGTTGGAGTTAATTTGTTTTGAAGAAAAGTTGATCAAAGTTCAAGTTCAGTTGAAAAGGTTAAATCAAAAACCTCAAGAATTGTGATTGTCACTTGACTTGTACTAAATTTATCTACAGTGATATCGACAATAAATAATTAATTTGATCATAAAAAATACACACAAATGGAGTGAAACAAATTAAAATCAATAATAAAGAAAAGGAGAGAAAATCCAGAGCAAGCGAGCTGATAATTTAATCAACATCAATAACAATTACTTCTTCGGCATTCAACAGATAAATTTTTCAACTTGCCTTTTATTTCATTTGTTCAACTTATTTTTCGCATTTTGTTATTTGCTGCTTCTTGCTTATAAAAGGTAAAATATTTTTATTATTTTTCAATGTGATAATGTTGGTTACATTCTACAATCATTCCCAGTTAGAAAAACTGAAAGTTTTCGTTTGAATAATTTTTAATTATAAACTTAATAATAATCTTGGGAATAAAATGACTCAAATTGAGTTGAGTGCGTTAGATCACGAAGAAAATGTCGCGATTCCTGTTCAGTGCAAAAGATAAAAGAAACTTTAGATCTTAAGAACGATATGATAATTATACAGTTGTTAAAGATCAAAAGTCTCCTTAATGAGATATTTTTAAATTTTCGAGTCATTTATCAGCAGATCAGATTCCGAAATTATGTTGTCGAACAGGAAGATATAAAATCATTCTGACTGGGAGGCAATTGATCATAAAATGAAGCATCTCCAACGCTCTTGAAACTCGACTAGGGAACTTTCATGTAATTCTTTTGCTTTTGAACGCAATTTTCAATCTTTTATTTATTTTGGCGACTTTGTTGCACCATTTTTGGAGTTCAATAATCTGTACGATAATTTGTCACATATTTTCAGTTGATATTGTTTGTTATGTTGCAAATGCGTTGGTTTGTTGTATGTGAATTTCTGAAGAATCGCGAATAACTTATTTATTAATACTTTTTTTGATACATTGTTGCTTTTTTTTTTTTGAAATTTATATTGAACGAGGAATTTCTGCGACAGATTGCACAATGGCTACGCTTACATATTCGCTTTTAAGGTTTCTCTCTCAACATCTTCCGACTCATTCGAAGTAGCTTTATTCATTTCATTTTTTTGCTGCAAAAATAAAGTTTTTCTTCCATATTTAAACGATTCAATTTGTTACACATTATATCTTCTTCCTTATATAAATATTTGCCAGCCTATTCCAAGCATGGCAATAGGCAGATTTACTACCTTTGGTGTAACGTTCCGTCCCATAAGATTACGATTTTTTTTTTCAATTTTCAATTCAATTCGAGTTAAGAAAAGGAAAAATATTTAAGAAAAAACAACAAGAAAAAAATGTTCTTTCAATTGCACCGCATTCTGAACTTCTGGTGATGGCTTTCGAATACAGATTTATTCTGGCAATGACTTTGAAGTCGAATGTTTCGATAAAGAAGAGCAGTGCAAGCTCATTCAGAAGCAGGAAAATGAAAATTTATCGTGTAACAAAAGTCTTATATTTCGAAGCAATCTTCTGCTCTCTGTGACATATTTTATTGTTTTTTAAATGCAGAAAAGACTCGACTACCCAAGCTGGTGCAAAAAAAAGACAAAAAGTGGATGAAACATTTCATCTGGTTCATGTTGCTTGCTTTTCTTACATTTTTCTTCTTTGAGACCATAACAAAAAAGAAATATAAAATAAAATGAAAACAAGGCGAGTGCCAATATTCGAGGAGAAAAAGAATTGAAATTTGCAGCAGTAAAAAATCGCCAAAACACGAAATTAATTTAAAACATCACTGAAATTACTTATCTTATCCTGAAGCATGAGTTGAACAAGTTAAAAAAGAGTTGAAACTTAACAAATTGCTTTTATTTTATTGCTTCAAAAACTCAACAAAAATTCATTCTTTTATATTTTGAAATTCCCTTCTTAAACGAATATACAATACGCACGTAAATGTTCCATAGTACACGAAGCAACTCGCCTCTTTTACTTTAAACTTTTAAATTTAAATAAATAAATCATTTGAGCTTTTATTGCACGACGCGGTGGCACATTGTACATCGAGTCGTAAAACAAGCAATTTTAAAAGAAAAGTTTTGTCAGAAACGAAACGGTATTTAGTGTATGATCTTCCGTACACTGTTTGATGCCACAATAAAGAAATTCACTCTTTTTTCATGAATTGAAAGATAACAATCGGACAGCAATGATGAGTTCTTCGGGTTCGTCGCTGGCCGCGCAATGAAGTCTTTTGTTTATTTCACTTAAGGCCGTTTTTCCGTTTTCTCTCTTTTTCTTAATTTTACATCAGTTGAGTGATGTCGGTTAATAAAATGCTTAAAGCAGACTTTTCCACTCACGTTAATTGAGTTGCAGTTGAGATTGGGACTCAGACGATTGAAGTCCAAAAACCTTGCAAGAGTTCACATTAAGAAAACAATTTTTTCATAAGTTTTAAAATTGCGCAATTTGTTCAAATATCTTTTCGGGATTTCCATTCAAAGTCACTAAATTACTAAGCAATTACGTTATGATTTGCTCAAGAAGTTCCGTTCACAAATGTTTGGACCATCTAAAGTGAAGCATGTAATACTTTAATTCTTGTTTATAGATCATTTGCCATTAAATTCTTCTTTCACCTCAATTCACCCAAAAAAAATGTACGAATACGAACACATGTATTAATAATATTGAAGATGATACAGCGTCAGATATACTTTTATGACTCCAACCATGTCATTACTTAACATCCATCCGATGCTCATAATTCGATCTTCAATCACAACAAACGACGATCAATTTTTATGTTTCTCTTACTTTCGGGCCTGATGTAATATTAAATTTCACAACTCTTTGCATGCAATGATGTTGAGGAATTTCGTTAAGTAAATTACAACTTGTCGATCGTTTTCTTTGGCTTGTGTCACTTTCTTTTACTTAAGTACAAAAAAAAATGAATGAAATTATTCTTCAAACGCCCACGCATTTAAAAATTGAAAAAGAGCTGATCATTGTTAAGCTTCAGCTACAAGTTGCAATGTTGAAGAAGATATTTATGAATATTATGGCAACAAAGGAGTTCAACTCAAAAGTTCAATGAACCGAAAACAGATCTAGTCGAAATGCAATAAAAATGTGCACCAACTTCAATTAAACGTTTCTTTGGTATAACGTTGGCTTTCTTCACCATATGATTTATTTGTATGCACTTTCAAATGACCTCTTCGCGATAACGATCGCAATTCGCATATAGTAAAGTAAAGTTCACTTCTCATAAGAATTTCTACGTTCTAGAAGGATTCTAAATATCTTCATGTCTCTACTTATGTAAAAGTAACGGACAAGAGAAAGAGAGAGAGAGGGAGGATGGGCAGATATAAATTTATATTTAATTTTCTTTTTCATTTTATGAAGAACAGCTTTGAGTATTTATAAGATGCAGACGAAGAACATATAAAAGCGCATCTCTCATTCAAAACATGAATCAATGTTAATTAATCTTTCCTTCTATGGAGATTTGGTGATGTTTTTAATGTCAATTTGAATTTGCGAAATCAAAATAAATGTAGATACTTGTTTAATCAATTTCGAAGCAGTTAAAGGAAATTTCACATGATCATCGTATCATTTCATAAAGTTAAAGTTAAGTTTAATGGAGGCTATTAAAAACAGACCCACTCAATACACAAATGTGCAATTAGCAATCTAATGCTCTTCCTAAAGCTCATCGTCTCATCTCCAATCAGACGAAAAATGCGATTAAAATTTTTACAACATCCAATAAGTTACTCAGTACGATCACGTAAATGCAAAAAGAAAAACAAATTATTTTAATCAGGTAGTCAGTTGGATGAAACTCGCATTTTCGTCCGCACACTTGTTTGCGTGTTTGTATAATTTGCAACGATGAGAACAGTAACGATAAAGAGTGATAATTAATGGTTTAATGATGCAAATATTACAATAAAAATTTGTTATAAAACAAATTAAACTAGTTCAAACTGTTGGAAGACGACGTCGTTGCGTCGCAGAGAGACAAAACAAAAGCAATTGCAGTTGTAAATATGCGCTTAATGTCCCCATCCTGAATCTTTGATCGCCGTCAACAGATACACTCCCCGGCAGGTTCATTACTCCGATGTGCCTTATTTGCGTTTAACTATTTTCTTTTTACCATTTTCCGTCGACCATTCGCTCGTCGTTCACTTCATTTGAAATGGAGAAGAAGAACAAGCCGATCGTCATTTAGCATTTTAAAAATTATGTTATGTTTATTTATGTTAATAATTTCAAGCGATATCTGCCGCTTTTCTCGAGAGAATAAATTTTGATATTTATGATGTCACCGGTGGCAGTTTTTTCTTCTTGTTTCGTTCATTTTTTTTATACAATTTCGACTCATATGTACTTCAATTGAACGCGATTATTCGTTGAAATATCCAAAGAGGTACTTTAAGAGAATGCGATGCTCAAGAAATTGCCTGTTAACCTACAATAACAAACCTATCAAGTGCGAGGATAATTGTGAAGTTGTTTTGCGAGAGGAATCGAAGAATGAACTGAGTCATTCATTATAAAGCAAGCAATTTTTAGTTGTTAATTGATGAATTCAAAACGTGAGCTACTGGAAAGGAAAACATCGCTCAAGAGTTGACTCTTTCATGACGAAAGACAAGCTTCTGGGCGAATTGTTGACTCTCAATTCTCATCTTCATTCAAAGATTTTAACTCTTTCCAGCATTCCAAACAAATCGCCAAAAGCAAACTCAATTTGAGAAAAGAAAATATTTCTCTAGAGTTTCACTTTGATGTTCTTTCGCTCTTCGACTTGAATTCATCTGAAAGCAAACGAGATTAACATAAAATAACTATTTCTCGTCTTTTCTTCCTCACTTTACTGTTGCCATTGTGTTGACTCATTTGTCCTGGACATTAAATAACAAAACGAACTTCGGTCACATCAGAGAGATTCCTCAATTACTGAAGAAAGCATTTGCGCATAGTTCATAAATAATTCAAATTTTACTTACGCTTTGGCATTGGCGGAAATAGTTTTTCATGTATATTAGAAATACCATTTCAATGACTTCATGGCCCCGAATAGGGATTGGAATGTATGTGCATGAAGTGCAAGTTCTTAAGGAAAAATTCATCTCAAATGAGATTGTAACTAATGCGATATACGCAGAAACTTTCCCATCTCTTTGTATGTTTTTCAACATAATAAAATTGCATGCTTATAGTTCATAAAGTCATGTAAATATTTGCAAAAATAAGTATAAAATATAACTGAGCCGTAGGGATCCGTAATTCTTGCAAATTCTCTTAATGAGTTCATCACTTAATTTTTAAATAAAACTGCAATAAAAACCATCAAAAGCATTTTGTCACACTCAGTTATATTTTCAAAGAATTCTTTTTTTGCATAATTCTCCTTAAATGCATTTCTGAATTTATTAAATGTTTTTATTATCTCTTTCTTGAACATTTCTTTGACTCATGAAAGGAATAAGATTTTCATAAATTACCGCCTTAAATGAAGCTTTATTGTATTGTCTTTCCATGCGTGCTGATTGAGTTAAAGAAAATTCTTCTTAAATTGCACCTTCAGTGCGCGTCTTTTCTGACATAAAAGAGTTCATTTTAAAATGAAACTTGAAAAGTTTTACGACCAAAAGAAACAGAAACACAATAAAACGATTAAAAGTTAAACTTAACTTGATTAATTGAGCTCGATGTGGTTTGCGCAAATTAAAGGCACCTTAAATGAATCGTAAAGTCAAATATCCTCGAATAATAAAACAATAAACTGGAGAATTAATTAAGTAAAGACCTGTGCAAGTGCAATTTGTAAATTCGGATTATTCTTTCATTGTTTGGCAGACACCGAATCAAAAGCCTTTTGTCTCGCATTTAAGAAGGAGGCGCAAAATTTTCTTATGGCATCAGAAGCACTCATTTTACCAATCGAGTTCAATACTCACTTTGTTTTCGGTGTTATTGACACTTTTTTACTTGATTCAAACTTTGCAAACTGGCAGCAGCAGTAAAAAAATTGTTTTCATTTCACAGCCAATAACTCGAACAATTGAATTTAAATTCAGACATTTGCGTTTCGGTTTGGGTGTCACAATCGAATATGATTAAATGATGACAATGCATTGTGATGACACAGAAAAAAATAAAATAAAAACATCCAAAACTGGGCAATTGCGATTCTTCATCCAAGCGTGGTGCCTTTAAGATAACTGTGAAATTGAAAAGGTCCTGCAGGCAACGATGACAAGCTACTTGAAATTCTTGAAGACGCACACCGGTCCACTTTCACAATTACGAATTCTCCCATTGCCATAAATAAATGAAAAAGAGAGAAATGAAATGAATATTTATTGTGATTTATTACATATAGTGAATGTATTCACATAAATATTATGCATCGAGTGCAGACAACTTAGTCATGTAATGTCGCGTCGAAACGATATCAACTTCTTTTCTTTTTCAAGAATTCATAAATTTTGCTCTGCAGCATTTTTTAATGTAATTTAAAAATGCTCAATATTTTATATTTGTCAATTTTAAACGTGTTACATATCTTAATTTGAATATCTTTAGAGAAGGTTGGCAATAGTGCATAAGAAAATAAAACTTATTTGTGCACAACCCACGTATGAGAACATTTTACTTGAGCAACATAAATTTATAAGCAACAAAAATTATATTTACATGAAATGTCTGCTGACGTTATCGATTAAAGATTCGTTTAGTGTATGTAAGTCTTTCAACCTTCTCTTCTTTCCAAAGAATTTAGTTTCTTGTTGGAAAAATTTATCAGTTTAAGGAAAAATATTCATCTATTTGGAACTTAGTAAGTGGGAATCAAGTCTTTACTCGTTTGGGTTTTATTTGAAATCAAATACAATGAATATCTAAGTCAAGTTAAAAGAATTTTTCAAGTCAAGTAAAAAAGTAAGTCAAGTCAGGCTGAGTTAAGTCAAGTCAAAGGCTTGGTGGGAATAGAAAATTAATTAAACTAACTTCGAGCCACTTCTAGTTCAATAATTCATATTTCTGCTAAATAAGATGAGAATCTGAAATTCTGGTAGCAAAACATGAATAAAAATATTTTATGCCGAACGATAAATCTAACCAGAGTAAAAAATAAAAAACTTGTAAAAACATAAATTCATAAAATGAAAATAAAAAGCATGAATATCTAATTAAAATGCACGAAAAAAAAGCCTTGAATAAAATGCTCTGTGAAGCAGGTGAAATATGAATACAAAAAAGGGAGAAGAAAGCGCTGCAAAAGCATATCTCGTTCATTCGATTGTAAATCTGCTGAACATGATTTTCAACATTTTTGTTCTTTTTTTTGCTACTGTTTCCATTATTTGAATCGAGTTTGAAATTAAGAGGAAAACAAAAAGCACTAACAATAGATCATTCCAGAACGATTACACGATTCCTTCCGTATGTTGGACGAAATGCAAAGATCTTCGACTTGGCTTCTTAATCTTATGAGTCATGAAATAATTTCTTATTTCTTTTCGTGCACTCGCCGAGTTCCTATCGATCTTCAATATTTATTTTTGTCTGCTGATAAAGTCAAAAGTCAAGTGAAATTCAAGAATTTCTCATAGCTCTCATTGATCATTTTTATCATCAAATGACATCGAAATGCAACATTGTTATGCATTTTCCATCCAACTTATCCATAATCAAGCTCCATTTACGTTCACTTCTAAGCTGATCCCATCTGAATTTTCACGTTTAATTTAATTCAAATCCTCTCTCATCGTCTCAACGTGCTTTATAAGTAGATATTTATTTTAAATACTAAACCTTTTATTGCCTCTTTTATAAATATCAAGTGATACGGTTTTAAACGATTTGGTCTCGAAATAAGAAAATAAATAAATAAGCGAAGAGTAGCGAAGGCTGAGAAGAAGGCGAAAGAGATTACGGAGGGACGATAATACTTGTCGCAGTGTCAAAACATGTCAATTAGAAACATGATTTTAATATTGTCGACTATAATCTCTGAGCTTGCCTTTTCTCGCGACTTCGAGAAGAGATTTACATATTATGCAGATGTTATATCCCCACATCAAGTAATCACCACAAAGGAATCACTTTTAACTTTTCTTTCGTGAGAAATTGTAACAAGGGCGATGTTGGAAATTCCAATGTTTGTTTGTTTCTTTCTTTGTGGTTGCTTGAATACCTAAATAAATTGAATTTTCAAGATGATTCCAATCAGTAGCTTCTTGCGATCCCTTGAAATCACTTCAATTCACTTTAATAACAATTTATTTTCATTCTGCTTTGAACTTCTTCAGTTTCTTCTTTATTTCGACACCGAGCTGTTTTGTGACATGAGAAACCAAAGCAATCCAAAAAAACATTTATTCAGGTGTGTTCACTTCAATCTAGATTAAAAAGCGATGCGCGACAGAAATCTTAAAGAGCTTCTTTTGAAATTGATTTAATGGATTTTGACGCGTCGTAAAGTCTTCTAAGATGTAACACCTTGTTGACTTATGAAAATTAAGCTAAGTAAGTTTGATTTGCGCAACCTTTTTGTAATCGATTCGAAATGAGTTTCATGGGAAAATCGATGACACTTTAACACTTCATACAAGTTTCGTTTTGTATTCATTCAAGAGGCGCTTGAAGCTTGAGAGTTGCGTTGGTGTCATTTAAATGTTTTTATTTCTCATAATTTGAAATGTTTGAAAAAATATTTTGATTTGTTGTGTTAAACTGGAATATTTTAATGAAGAAATGTCAACGTCTCTTAATAAAATTAATTGAAGCAAACACGCGATTAATAACTTTTGATTCATTTCAAATCTTAAAATAGAAAATCGTGATTTCCTTCAAACTTATAATTTCTTACAACAAGTCATCATATCAATCATTTAACAACTTTTTGAAGTCAACATATTCCCAGCATAAATCTATCGTGTTGGAAATGATTATTAATTGTGTTAAATATTTGTAAAGAATAAAGAAGAAAAAGAGAAAAGTGAAGCAGATGAGATCGAGGCATTGCCGGATGTCATAATGTGCAAGTCAGTGCTGTAACAGAAATGATTTCAATAAAATATTTTCATGTTCTTCCCTGTTCATAGCATTCAGATTTTATATGAAAAGGAATTGCAATTTGTTATGTTGAACTATCAAAGTAGGCAATAACACAAAGCAACGTCTTAACATAATTCTCTCGTATGCTCGCGCGCGCAACCTTAACAGCAGCTGAACAGCCGCATCATACTTTTCAAGGTCAACACGAGTGTGTAGCACTGAAGGCGTATAATTAAATTTACTTGAGTTTTTAATTTAATTTTGTTTTCTCCAATCATTCACACAATAAAATGAATGATGTGGATAAAAAAGAGAATAAAAAATAAAACATTCCTCGTGTTAAGCAAATTGAAATTTAATTTTTAATTGAATGCAATTCACCATTCTTCATCTCGTCGCCTTTTATGTTAATTTAGCTTTACGACTTTAAAAGTTTTTGCAATTTCATTGAAAAATATCCATAAAGTCATTTATTAAATGAGCTTACAGTGTCATAATTAATGATGTGCAATTCTTGCCGAAATTTCGTTTCCATTTCAAATTCTTCCATCGGATGAGAAAACATTTTATTGTCTCGATTTTATTTCGTAGATGAACACATTCAGGAATAAACATGACGTGTTCAATTACACCCACATATTTAGTGTCATTGCAGATCTCAATGAGACATCTCGTTGATTTCTTTTCCCTCGCAAAGTCAAAAGTCATTTTTCATGAACCAAAAAAATCAAATAAAAAAAAGCAATTCCGAATTGGAAGAGAAGAAATAAAAATCAGTTTACTAAAATGTCAGAATAATTAATTACCAACGATGCTCTCCATGTTCTACATACGTAGCTTCACCATGTGTTGTGCACTCATTTGCCATTTTAAATTACAATCATAAAGTATTCATCTGACTCGTTGGGAGTCAGGTACATGTGGCCCTTTCGAATATCTCATTGGACCCGATCTTTGCTTTTGTTTTCTTGCTTATTTCGTTTGTTTTTCAACTCATTCAAACTAAAAATTGCGATTCTGATCCATCGTTTAAACTGTTCGCTGCCAGAAAGCAATAACATAATGAAATCAGGTTCAATATTACTGCAATATATATCGAAGTGCACATAAAATTCATTCTTGATCGCCTTCAGGGGGCAAAGCAATTCATAAGAACAACTTTATGTTATTTAATTTCTTTCCATTTTTGTGTTGTTTTTTTTTGGAAAGATGCTCGAGATGAACTTTTTGATATCGTCTTTCTCTCGTTTATATTGTCTCTATGTGACTTCTCGGATGACTCGAATGATTGGAAGAGGCGTAAACCATAAACTGTTTTCACTTGCGTTCAATTTCGTGGTACAGTGGATTGAAGATGATAAAGTTAAAGTACGAGACTTTTCTTTTTCTGAAGGCCTCTTCAACATCTTTTGGGTAACTTGAAACCGTCCGATTGCGATCTTCATGTGAAGTGTGGAAGGTTGACTGCAAGTGGAACACATTAACAAAGAAAATCACTGGGATGGAATTCCAATAAACTATAAAGCTTTACATTATCCCAACGATCTTTGTATTCACCTTTAAGGCAACGAAAAAAAATTATTTCGAGCGACAAAAATCGCTCTGATTAAATTTTTACTCCATTAAATTTAAACCATCTCAATACGTTAATAATTAATATTTTTAATCGAAAAATAAGAATCTCGCTTCCTTAAACTTCCCTTCTTCGAGTCATCATCACCACAACATAAACTTCCTGCAGCAACAGTTAAAAGCAAAACGAAAACAGAAATTATCGGCTTCTTAAATCATCTTTCCATTTCAAAAAAACTGCGACATTTTACTGACCATCTCTTCATTACTTGATGTTAAACATTGAGTCCATAAAAAAAAATTGTAATTGTCCGACGATGAAGAGAAGCGGAGGTAAAAAAAATTTAATTAACACCAATATTGTTGCTTTCGTTTCGAAGACATCGTGAAGATGGTAAATATTCAAGACGAGATGAGTTGACGATGGGATGGAAAGAGAAGTAAACGAATATCTTTTGACCTTCTCCAAACTCATCATCCAATTAACTAAAAACTCAAATAGCCACGGAAAATAATAAAAAGAGATGAAGACTTTTTTTTTCTTGCTCCGTCGCTTGAGCTTGAAACTGCTTTGTGATGTCTGAGAGTCTCCGCCAGGAAATTTCATGTGAAATATCTCAACTGTTGGCAATCACGATGAGAGTTCGAATCTCGGGAACTCAATAAAAACGACTATGATGTACTTACAATCATTATAATCACTTTTATGTTTCTTATAATGTTTTTGCAATTGATGACGGTCGAGTTGAAACACAAGCACACCTCCACAAATTAGTTTGAATTAGTCTATCCAACTATTTGATGTGGGATATTAACAAAATAAATAAATAATTTCGTTCCATTTAAAGCAATTTTCCTTCTACTTTCTTGGAATCTTCAGTCAGAAGACGTTAAACTGATGAGGGTTAAATGACGAGTGACCGATATTAAGTCTCATCTTAGACGATTTATTATTACTTTGAAATGAATATTGTTTAACGAAAAAACGGTTATAAAGTCCATGGACTTACATTGTTATTTTCTACATCGTCGTCTTCTATTTTTCTTACTCAGCTATCGAGTTGTTGCTAAGGTTTTTCTATTGTTAAATTGTTAAAGGTCTGAGTGTTTTATTTGATGAACAAGATATCAAGCGATATATTCAAAAGATCATTGAAATTTGTTTAATCTCAAAAGCCATTAAAATACTAGAGAAGCGACTCGCTATGTGATGGTAATTAATGAAAAGTTTCTTACATGTGTGTACTTAATTCGATAAACTTCGATTATTTCGTAAACAGATCAGCTCTTTTATTTCTATTAACGACTTACGTTGACTATAAAATACCAAAGCGAATCTTCTTCCAAGAGATCAAATAAGTTCATGTTTAAATTTCTTCGCAAATCAATATTACACATCAAATCGCCGGAGGACTCAACGAGTGACTTTGCCTTTTGAAACTCGAATCTTGTACTCAAAACAAATCGTAAAAAAACGAATAAAAATATCCGACGATAGGAATGAAAAGACAATTTTTACGACAAGATCAATTGAATTTAATGATTCAGATCTTTTGAAGTCTCGTCATAATTTGCGCTGTTATAGTTTTTTTTACATGAGCTTGAATTCTCATTCTTCACCGTTAACAAATTTACTGTTTAATTACCAAACTAACGATTAAGGAAATCAAGGCAACAAAAGCCATAAACCAAATTAATATTAAGCACTGATTGATCCTTGCGCCTCTTGCTGAAAAAAAGGGAATTCTCGGGACAGGCCTTAATTAGACATCGCAGTCTTGTGCTTATTGACTTTGACAAATGATCTGCATGACACATCAATTTGAACAGCAACGACAATGGATGATGATTTTTTTTTATTCAATTCGGGGTAATATAGAATCTTGCCAAGACCTTTTCTTACAAATATGAACAGAACAAATCATAAGAACACAACACGAAGCTGAAAAAAACAAAAATTACAACCCAAAGTTTTGCTGTATCGAGATAAAGAAAAAACATTGTTGAAAAATCAAATTGAAACAGCAGAATTCTCGAAGCTGTTAAATTGAATTCTTTTAGTTTACATCTCGAAAGATTGAATATCTTCTTGATAATTTAAAATTGTAAGTCGAAATTCATGACAGAAGACGCTTCAGGGCAACTGAATGAAATTAACATCGCGCGAATAATCTTGATTTATTGCGAGTCAATTTTTTTGCTTTGTTTTTTTTTCGTTAACGGGGTGCAAGTCAAGACTCTTCCACAACACGAAACAATTTTTTATTTTGGTAGCTTTAAAGACATTTAATTTGACATTACTCAATAATAGAATCTTTTTCCGTTCTTCTTTTTCTTACTCATCAAAAGGTGCTCGTGTGATCTTAATCTGATTTGTTTTTTTCTCTTCCAGTTGAAAACTAAAGACTTTTATTAATCTAATGGCGTTATATACAGAAGCAGATAGAAGAAGTCATTTATTTCTTTAAATTTCAACCTTGAATAACTGAAACCATTGTGCTTATGAGCCGCACATCATTTGAGATAATTCGCTCGCCCAATTCTAATTTTTTTCTACTCTAAAGCAACTTTGTGCTTTGAAAACTTATTAAGTTTGGATTAAATTTGGATCAATAATTCGTTGTTTACCCCATTCGGCACCTCGACTTATTAACCAGACAATAATATAATTAACGATTTTTTTTGCTGGTGCTGATGGGAAGCATCTTTTCAACCTTTGTTAATCCGCTCCCAAATCTGAAGAAATAACAGACTCTAATTACATTTTGATTCGCTATTAAGCTGTGAAAATAGATCAACATTCGACGTACGTTCGCCGACCTAGAGTTATTAGCTATCATTTTTGAAGGCAAGAATTCATATGGTTGCGGAAGGAACATTACTGCTACTGGTAGAACATTTACAGATCTAGATTTGCACAAAAAAAGTCATTAAGTAATATCCGTGGTTCATATTTCTAAGTTAACCGCTGACTGAGATTAGTTCTGAAGTGTTTTCTAAAAAGGTTTTTAAGATCATTCGATTTCTCTTGCTCGTTTCGCCTACACGTTAACCTATCTAGACTTAACTAATTCAATTCAAGCTTAATAACTGACGATGATGACCTCAACACAGTGCACAAAATGTTTTAATATTGTTTCTGTTGAAGTATTACTGCAGCGCGTCTTTAAGTGCTGTTGGTGGAGATGGCGATGAAAAAACTATTCAAATGTCATACTTAAAGCTCGCAATCTTTTGTTTTATTTACATTTTAAAACCATTTCATCTGAGATGATGATGCGTGCTGCGTTTAACTGTTCATATAAGCGTCCATTTGAATATCAAAACGAAATAATAAAATTTAATGTATGATTTAGGGCTTAAAACTCGTCATTGCATCATTAAGCGACGCTTTGAAGTTTGAAAGTCGAAAGAGAAATGAACTGTGGGTCAAGATTGTTGAGGAATTGCCTTCAACAGACGTAATCTTCATTCATAAAACTCAACTCGAACCATAATTGCTCAATATTCACAATTAAGAAAAAAAAATATCATTTCGAGGCGATCACACAACCGATCGTCAAATGTTTGAACTGCTAATTGAGTGTCGTGTAATGCAAACAAAAAATAAGAAAAAAAACTCGCTGCATTCATTCTTGAGTCTCTCTTAACTCTTAAGTTTAAGAAATAAGAAAAAATAACTTGTTTGCCATTGCACTCATAAATTTCTATGGAAAAGACGTTCGAATAAATAATTACAGTGACCATGTTAATGAAATTCAAATCGAAATCGGACGATGCGATGGCAAGGTGAAAGCATCTTTTCTTCATTCAATTAAAACTCGTCGAATCATCTTCTCGCCCCATGCATTCCTCAATTTACTGGAAATATTGCAATGAATTTCTTTTCATTCCACCTTTACACTACAATCGACTTAATTTAAAAATTGACTCTTTTTTTTCTTTCGCTTTTCCCTCTTCAGCTCTTCTTCTTGTAATTTGCATAAAAATGAAAAATTTTACATTGTCAAGAGAGTGGAAGAAATGAGTCAATTTTTTCATATTTTTTTTTTGAAAGAAGTCGCTATGAGTTGCAACATATTTGGTGCTAATGACCGAGACATGATAAATGATAACAGCCCAGGATGTTATTCAGATTAAAAACGATTCTCATCACGACTTTAAATCGATAAAAAATTGCTCCAATTCGTTTTAAGTGCTAAGTAAACGTATTAAAATAAATTCGAAGATTTTACGCAACATAAAATAAATTTAAACTGAAAGGCAATGAAACTGGTCTTGATATTCTAATAAGTGGATCGCAAAGTCTGAAGACGGTTTCGGTTCAATAAAACGATAATTAATGGAATTATTCGTTTCAGTTGAAAGTTGCTCATTGTCGGTTGGTCAGGCGGTGATGCGCACCTCTAATCTCAGCTTCTTTATGACATGCGAGCTTTAAAGGAAGATCTCATGAAATCTTTGACTGATTTACGACAATATTGTGCAAGATGGAATCTTTTTTTTGGGAAGAGATCTTAATAAGAGATAAGACTTAAAATGAAGAATTTGCATTTTATGACAGCGCCACTTGCTGCTCGTCTCCGTAACTTAATATTTAAGAGATTTATCTACGACTTCTGTTTCGGTATAGTCAGTCATCTTATTGAAGCAATGGATCGATATACATCAACTTGAATGTCTAAATGGACATGTTGGGAAATTAAACTTATAACGTAACGTAACATATCATCATCGATTTTGTTGCATTTACGACTTTCATACTTTTAATGTTTATTAACTTTTTTTTTCTTACGAAATTCCACATGAGTATAAGCAAAAGCAATTAATTATGTCAAAACTGACAAATATAGCCCAAATTAATTTATTGCCTCTGCTAAATTGGACTGACTTGACTGCTACTACTACTGTGAGAGTCGTCGACGAAAGAGATAAACATCGATAATTGCTGGTTTATCATTTTCCCAAGACACTTTTTCTACCTTTCAAAATATTTCCAACGAAAAATCTTTTTCTTCCAAGCAATAAAAAGAAATTTTATGCTCTCGTGATACTTAAACTTTAACTTTAATTTGCTTGCTAATTTATTTTCCCGCTCTTAAGTCATTCATGCAAATATCGTTTCGTTGATCATAAACAAACAAGTCAAGCTGAGTCTTGTCTTCTTTCTTCGTTTGAAAAATCTCAATTTAAAGGGGGAAAAATTGCATAAAGGAAAGCAACATCAAGTTGATGCTTGGTAAACTATTTATGTTGTTGATTCGGAAAATAATCAATTATCCACCCAAAAAGCGAACAAAAACAAAATCCCTGCTGATTTTTATTAGTAACATGGTGGAAAAGTAATCAAAAGACGAGAAATGGAATAAAATAATGTTAAAGAAATTGATCGTATCGATTGTATTGAAGTTCTTCGAGTAAGCAGATGAATAATGCATGTGAGTGCAACAAATTACTATCGATCGTCAAAAGTTTTTCTTCTTTCGCTGTTAATTGTTGAGATATTTGCAAATTGAATGAAACTTACTACAGGTGAATCACAATGCATTGAGCGGATTAAAGTTTTATTTATATATTTTTTGACACGCGTTCACTTCAATGTTGCAATTGCAATGTGAAATTGAAATGGCACATCATGTAATTGCCAATTGGTAGTTAAATAAAGTCTTTAAAGTTTGCCTTGGAAATCAGAGAACAACCAGCAATAAATCATGTCAGAATGTTGCAAAAGCAAGAGAAAAATTTTCAATAAACTGGAACTGTCATCATTTACGTTTTCGAATCAGAAAACTTTGACATAAACTGTGAATTAACATTTCCAAAATTGGCTTTCTCGCAAAAAATAAACTGCTACTGATAAACATTCACCTCGAATAAATCATTTAACGATTCGTTCATCAAACTCAAATATGTCTTGCAGAAGCAAAAAAAAAGAAGTAAAGTAAGAGCTTAAATCGTACATAAATAGTTGAAGTGGAATATTAGAAAAAAAAGTAACGTATTGAATAAAATTAGCTTTTGATAAATTGAATCAACATCAAATCATCTTTCATAGAAAGAAACATAACCAGTTAGACTTAGTAAAATTGCAGACTCTTCGTTTCCATTTCAATTTTATTTGTTGCCACAATTTATGGAGATGGAGTGGAAGATGAATTATGGATTAAATTAAATAAATATTTCATTGCCTTATTCTGCAACATTTCTACTGGAGATATGAATGCTTAGGTAAATAGATCAAAAGAGCATTAAGAAAACCAGTTGATGCTCTCAGAATCGTTTGCTTGTTTTCGTATTTCACATACCCCGATTTGACAATCAATCTGCGTGCATCTCAGACCATTGCAACATTCTTCTACCACATTCAATCTCATCTTTGTGATTCAAAAACTGTTCTTCTTTCTTTTCTCATGCACTAAACGTAAGAAATAAAAATTATGAATTTATATCTGTCACAAATTTGATATATCATCGGAATCGTCTCTCGCTCACTCACTCACTGTTGTATGTCATTGAGTGCAGACTTCATGTAGAATTCCTTACAACAGACTTTGCCTTATTTTCATTATTTTTCTTTTCAAAAGCTAGAAATGAAAATGTCTCGTATTTTATTGCTTTTTAAATAGACATTTATTTGCGAAGTAGAAGACATAAACAAAGAAACAGAAACGATTTCAATTCACGAATGAAGAAATCAACTCATGATTAATTGGTATCATAATTTTGATGGAAATCAAACTGATTAAGTTTTCTTTCTTTTTTATCATTTCATTTAGATGAATCAACAGTGCAAAGTGTGTGGAGAACCTGCAGCAGGATTTCACTTTGGAGCATTTACATGTGAAGGTTGCAAGGTAAGAAAATAAATGAAAACGAATTGAAATTTTCGCCCAAAGCTATGACTTAGCCATAAATCGTTGTCTTCTCGCTTCATTGCGGAAATAAACAAATGATTTCTTTTATTTCAATTTAAAAAGATTTATGTCTTTAAAAATTTGTCTCAAGATCTCAAAGGCGTCAAAAAGAGTTTCATTGAACGTTCTTTTCTTTTCCTTCATAAAAGCTTTGTCTGAGGCCGGGCGATATAATTTAACTGTAGCGCGTTATTTTACTTTAACAACCGTAAAATTATCTTACATTGTTAACGAGAAATCGGCGATGAGAACATCGAAGAATAACTTCGTTTAAGAGCAGAAAAATATTATTGCAAAAAATTCAAATAACTTCACGGGTTTCGTGGAAAGCAAGAAATTCCAAAGCGATCTCTATGAAAAAATTCTTTTTTTTCTTTTATTCTTCCCTAACTCATTCGGACATTAAAGATTGTTTACAAAATATTCATAAGAGCATGTCTTATCTTTCACGGGAGAAAGACAAGCAATCCACATACTTGTAGAATGGAAAAGTTGTAAATATTCTATTAATGAAGAGAAGGAGACCGAAAACATGTTGGAGAAGCCACAACAAGAAGAAAAATGTCGTTTAGCTATTAACATAAATTTCCTAATCAACATCCGATGTCACGCAGCGAGAGTCAAAGCATTACAGTTACAGGTCGAGGGCTATTTTAAGTCGACGCTCGACAACAAGATGAGAAAATTCCTTTCCCGATTCATCGGCGACTTTCTAGCTTCACTCACTTATTGTCTAAAGATAGAGATTTTCTTAAATAATTCGCGTGTGCAGAAAACGTTACTGCGAATGATGAAATCGCGACACAAATTTTAACCTTTTTTTTCTGTTAACCGTTGATTTATAACATTTATTGTGCCGCGCTAGAAGGAAGATCTCTAACTATTAAGTTCGCATACGTAAAGCAATAAAACATCAATTTAAAAAGCATTCATTTATTTAAAATTCACTCCATAAAAGCGGTAATGGGGACAAAGCATTTCGGGATAATTAGTGGATTGATTTGATAGACAAAACGCTATTGACAACGTTTCAACTTTTTTGTTTGATTATCAAGAGCGAATAGCAGTGGTGGTTATAAAAGTTTATGAGTCAAATATATAAGAAAAATATTTTGCTTTATGAAACCTTGATACGTATGATAATTTAGAAATAATTTATCATGAAAAGATGTAAACAACAAAATTCTCTCTGAAAAGTTAAAATGAAAAAATTTAAAATAACAAGAAATATGTCGCCATTATCTCTTTCATTGGTGTGACTTATGGTCGGCATTTTGTTCGAATATTTTTCTTGTTATCGAAGAGATTAAAAATGAGAAAAAAACTAGATTAGTTTCATTTCATCGATGCCGGCTTCAAGTTTGAAGTCTCTGTTTGAAATTCAAAAATCTTATTTAGCGAAAGTTTTCTTCTTTTTTTCTGCTAATGGAAATGAATTCACGATTTGACAATGAAGTGCCAAAAGTAATAATTTTCAATAAGAAAAGTTTATTTCCTAAATATCGATTTGTGTATTCGACATTTGAGTGTGAAGTTATAAACATAATCACATTTTTCGGCAGATAAAATTTCCATTTGGACACGAACCTTACTCTGCTTTGTTTTTATAATTTGTTTATTTCTTTTTTCTCAGTCAAATATTTGAGGAAGCGAAACCACAAAAAATATTTCGATTAATATTAATGGGCAACTGCAAAAAAGTTATAATCAAAAAGACGAAGAGCGAGACATATCTCGCTTCTTCACTACACACTCATCCCACATTCGAATTTGGCTAATGGAGCGATCTTTTAAGTTATAACACCCAGATTTATGAAATTTTATTTGTTTTACATGTTTGACTCTATCAAACCTTTTTTTGTTCTCATCAGATGAATTTTCTGAGACATTAACTTAACAGCAGTCGATGTCTCCATCAAGCAAGTCGAAAAGGTTTCTTTTCGTGCGCATTATTCTTGCTTAATATTAACAACATCGAGATTGTCCCATTAATATTTATGATAATGCTGATATAGGATGATGATGATATATTTCCATTTGAAAGCTACACCGGCTGCTTCATGACGAAAAACCAAACCAAAAAAAATCTTTATATAAACTTAAATTAATATAATTATTTGTTATTTCGAAGGTTCATAAGACAAAGCATAAAAAAAGAGTTTAAAATGCACAAAATTGAGTAATGATCATAAAACTTTATTTCCTTTTTAACTGAAAATATATTGAAACGAAAAATCTTTAAAATATGATTTTTTTTGGGTGTTCGAATATAATTTTTGCACAGAGCGGAACATTAAACTGGGTTACTAGTAATTTACTTGTAAGAAAGTTCATTGGATATTTATGATTTCCCCCCTTAATGATTAGTTTTGAAATTAAATGTGAGTTACACTACATACATAAAAGTCCTCGGCATATTTATTTGCCTCTGAAAACAAAGCAAAAGGCGAGAAAATTAAGAGCCATTCATGGGGCGAAGAAAATCTGAATTTAAATATATTATGATTTTCAGCACTTTGCTTGTTAAAACAAGAACGAATATGGCTCAATTACGTGGCAAATGTGCACTTTATATTTTATGTGCATCGTTTCATCCTCTTCGTTATTAATAATTTAAGAGATGGAACGAAGTTGGCAAGGAACAGAACATGTAATTTGCGAGTCTTATTTACAAGGAACAATGAATCCGAAATGATGTTGAAAAGATTCGTGAAATTCTAATGTCAAATTTGGTGAATACTTAAAGGAAATCATTGTAAGCTGATGTGATGTGAATAAATCAAATTTTAACATAATTAATCATTATTCTTTAATTGTTGAAAACTTTCTCGAATCTTTAAACAAGATGTCTAGCTAGCTTTAGTCATAATCAACTGACTTGATCTTGATTTTGTGCTCAAATGATTAACAATCTATTTTTTTTATACGTTTTGCGGCATGATGATCGCTTGCACTTTGTTTTGTGTTTAGAGACGTTCAGTTTGTGATAATCGCTTCGAGATAATCTTGCTATAATAGAGTTAAATTAAGAATTAAGGTGACGTTGTTTGTTGCCATTGGTGTTTATACGAAGACATGATGGCAAGATAAGACCTTGATACACGTGAAAATTGACATGGAAATTAAAGTTTTAATAACGTAACATAAAATGTCAAAGAGCTATTCATGCATAAATTGCGCGCATTTATATTGAGCTAATCCATGTTAATTTACATCCGCGATCATCACAAATCGCACTTAAACGTTCACAGTAAACACCGTTTGACTTCGCTGAAACATTCCCACGACAACATCATTTTCATTCAAAACGATCCTTTAATTAAATAATTGAGAAAATAGATTGATCCAACGATTTGTGGAATAAACACAACATGTGAATTTCAATAAAGTATAACTGAAAGAATTGAATAACATTCTACATCTAATTAAGTTTAAGCTTCGATGTTTAGAAAAATAAAATGCAAAAGAAATAGCGTTTAATTTAATTCACATAAAGATTTTAATCGATCGACGTTTCTGCGTTTCTGATTTCAATGTACGAGTAGGTTTTTCATTAGCTTTGTTTATGGCTAAGCTTTCGACATCTTAACTCCGACAGTTTTATTAACACAGTGTAATTATGGAATCATTCATTCCTTTGATGCTTGATCACTTCTAGAATGTGAAATATCGTCACGGAATATTATAAATAAATATTCTCTATGAAATTCGATATTGGAACGCGATATTTGCGTGATATCATTATAATATATTTCTTCGCTTTCGAGCTGATAAGCTAATTAAATTCAACTAATATAGGAAATCTCACGAATACCAAACATTCCAATAATTAACATAAGATGATGATAAAAACAAATGATCGAAGTCACAACACTTTTAATAAATCGTAGTCGAAGAAACAGCTCGATACGCTTAATGAGGACATTAATACTACATAAATCCTAAGATTTAATGATTATAAAGTGTTAGTTTAGATATTATAAGTTCAACATCAGCTATTAAAATTAGCAATCTTGTTATTCCATTGAATATTAACAAAATCTTCCCATTTCTTATCACTTGATTCTTATCAGTGATTTCAAATCTCTGCTGTTAATATGAATATTAAATATTATTAATTTTATTTCTATATTTTCATTCATAACTTTTATTAATCGATTTCTAATAAACTTATATGTTTCATATCCAATCTTGTCTGTAAAGTTCAAGATTTACTAGAATCATGTTCTGTCGTTCCCCTGTCGTCGTTTTATTTCTTGCTTTCGAGCATCACCATAAATACGCGGATGTATACAAATTAAAGATTATCGTGATCGTATTTGTTACTATTTTTTCCGCTCACTTCTATATCGACTATAAAAAGGAATTGTACAGTATCTCGTTGAAATGATATCGCCATAAATGGCTTTTCTCAATTCAGTCTTAAAAATTGTTTCGCATGGAAATATTTAATTTTTCTTTCATGTCTGACTTATTACACGAAAACGGAAAAACATTAAAAGCAAGTGTCTTGCATAAACACGTCGAAAATAAAAATGAACGACCATAATTTATGTAGATAGAGTTTCTAGTGTATGGAAACAGATAGATCAATTGTGATTCCTTCAGTCGTCAATAATTCAACTCTTTAATAATTGAAGTATCATGTTGGAGAAATCGTAATAGTTTCATCAAGTTTCAAAAATATTTCTTTAAATATTTTGATGACTTGTGGGTGGTTGAAAGCATTTATCAAATTTATTATAACAGTTTCAAGTCTTTATGGAGTCTATGAAATGTAACGTAGACACATTTAATTCATTTACAGTAAATCGTTTTACATCCCGACCATAGCGTTCATTTATCTACATTCGTGTAGGTGATTCTTAAAAAGATTTCAAATGTCAAAACACTCATGAAAAGTATTTATATCACTTTTATGTCAAAGATATTTTCTTAAAATGTTGTGAAGCATTTTTAGTTCTCTTTTCTGTTTTATTTTTTTATTTCTCTTTGTTACTTAAATTGCTCGAATAAAAATTCCATCAATCTCTGACGCGCGTACAAAAGCGATGTGGAAAAACTTGTTGACTAAACGGACTGAATTTTTCTCTTTCTTACTCGATTTAAGCTTGCTGTCAACCAACATTAATTTTCCAATAAATCTAATTCAATTAAAGTAACAGAATCAATTTTTATAAGGCGCCTCTGATCTTTGATTTTGTTTTTACTCAACGTTTACTTCATACAAGTTTTCTATAATTGAATCTTTGATTTCGCAATAAAATAATTAGCGCAACCCTGAAATGGTTCTTTCAAATAAGATCGTTTATTAAATAGTTTTATATCTTTTCTTATACCTTTATTTATTCACTTTACAACGTTATTATGTTCTGTTTTGTAGTTTACGTGTCATCTGATTGTTACCTCCAAGCTTGAAAATATTTAACTCGCTTTATTGCCAATTCATTCGGCGTTAAGTTCTAGAGAAATATTCCAAATGATCACTTGCATCTTAATGGCTTGTATTTGTGCAATTGTGATAAATATTTTACAGTAAACCGGATCAGATCTTTGAATTGATTCTAAATAATTCTTAGCACATGCTAACAATAAGAGAAACCATCATGATACTCCCCTTAAATATTAAATCATCGTTTGAACAATTACCATTATGCCATAGTTTTATGAATAAATCTTTTCAGATCGCTTTACTGCTTTAACGATTTTTTATTAGTTCTTAACATGTTGCTAATGTTAATTATCATTCATGCCGTTTCCAACAACGCTCTTTATGTTGACTTCACTTGAATCTTAAATTCCTACAAATAGACATTTTAACTGGGGAATTAAATGCAATATGTCAACATGAAGCTTCTTGATATTGTTGCTTGGGGAGCTTTAAGGCATCTTCGATATTTAAAGAGACAGCAGCCTTGTTTATCATTATATTGAATATTCAACAAATAAAATATCGAACATAACGAGAGAAGTTAACTCGTACACAATGACAAAATATCTATAAACTCAAGTTCAATTTTAACGCTAGATGAGACAACGAAACCGAAAGGAATTCATAGCGAATTAAATTAATATAAAAACATTTGAATAAAAAGACTTTGACTCAACTTTTTGAGATGGAAAAAAATCTCATTCTATTTTTCATGAGTAAACATTTATAAATATTATTAAAGATGTAATTTATTTATTAAATTTTTTATTTGCTAGTTGCTTTTGCGGTTCTTATTAAAATGAGTTATTTATTCGCAACAACAGAAATTCCATTTTCACATTGTATGAACACAAATATATGTGAAAAGTATTCAAATGAAGTTATAAACCTTTTTAATCCGTTTCGGTGCTTCATTTCATCTTAAATTTCATGCAGATTTTTTACTTAGATCTCTAAACTATCGTGAAAAGATTGTTGCTCAATTATTTATCAACTGTGCTTTACATGATTATTAATAACAATAATTTTATGTTATAAACGGTAGCCAACAGAGCTTGCTTTTAATCCTATGAAACAAATTGACTCGATTTTTTCACGATTGTAAAATTTTATTCACCTTCAAGTTCCATTTTTTATTTCGCATGCATTGGTTTTAAAGTTCCACAGAATGTTTCATTAGAAATGAAAATAAAAATTATGTTCACATGTTTGTTTTATATTAAGATAATTAAATATCTATTTAACATAGGAAATAGCAAAAAAGTTCTCTGAAAAGTCGTGATCAATTTTCAATATTTATATAACCGAGTTCGTTTTTCATACAAGGCCAAAGTCAAGTGTGCTCAT